GCCCCGGCGGCCGCGGGCGCCTTCTCGCCACTCTTGTCTACCGGGTAGTCCGCCGAGGCCAGGTTTTCCGCCGTGCCATAAGCCGTCTCGAAAAACTGGTCGAAAGCCTGGGGTAGGACCCCGTTCCTGCCCACCGTGCTATAGAAATTGGAGGAGACGTTGGTGCTGGGGTGGTAGACGTTAGCTGTGTTTTTGCCGAACATCTCGCCCATGCTAGCAGTGTTGGTGGCAGGCAAGCAGTCTCTGTGCATGATCTCCTCTGCGGAGTAGCAGTGGGGCAGATTGTTCCTGGGGTGCCATTTACTGGAGGGATCAATGGCATATTCCCTGAAGGTAACTTCTCTCACAGGTTGGACCTGGGGTAGGTTGGAGGAGTAGGAGTATGTCATAGGGCGAGAAGACGGGGTCTGGGGCAAAAAAGAAGGGAGGCTGGAAAAATCAGGACCCGAGACGTAGTAAGTACAACTTGGCAAATACATGTTAGAGGAACAAGGAACACGCTCATCAAAATCCATCATTAGGGCTACCTCGGCTTCTCCGCATTAGCTGAGCTTAACATGATTCTCTAACGCAGCTGCCTCTTTGAAGCAGATCCGTGAAGTAAGAGATGGGGAGACGTAAGCTGACGTGGAAAGCTCTCCCCGGCGGCGGCAGGGAGGTGCGGTCACGTGGCCCGACGTTGACATTGACGAGCGGCGGGTCCGGGCCCCGCTCCCTTTGTGGCCATCGCGGGGGGAAGCAACAGCTCGTCGCCAGCGCCTAAGGGCGAGCCGAGCGCAGGTTGGCCCGGGGGGTAGCCTTAGAGGACACAAAGGCGCGTTGCCACTGCCCCAGACTTAGCCGCCCGGCCCGTGGCACCCACTGGCTCTGGAGTAGAGAGGCTTAGCAATCCCCCCAGGGTTAGGTGAGACCTTTCTGTTTGTTTGTGCGCTTGCTGGGGCGTTCGGCGGCTCGCTGGCAGGCTCCGAGAAGGAGGGCACAGGAGAGATGCAGGCACGGTTTCTGCTGGAAAGCTGCTTCCGAGCAGGAAACGCTCCTGAAGAAATCGGCAGCGTTTTTCCCCCCCCCCCCCCCCCCCCCCCCCGTTCTTTTTTTTTTTTTGTTGTTCTTTAGTTTGTTTTGGTTCGGTTTGGGCTCCCACCCCCCCGAAAAAAAAAAAAAAAAAAAAAAGAAAAGAAAAAAGCCCTCGCCTCTCAAGGTTTTTCTGGAAACGTTACTAGGAAGAATGTGCCAGGGTCAAGTCTGTACTGATTTTCATGGTGAATAGATTACATGCTTGCATTCATGTTCACTTCCGAAGCGGTTAGTGTCTTCCTTCCCTTACTTACATATTAACCTCAAATACCCCGCGCGGCTTCAGCCAGGCTTTACTGGAGGTAGTTAACAATGTCGGGTTCCCAGGACGCAGGTTCCCTCTCCTCACCCCCTCCAAACCGTCCCTTGCCTCATTCACAACGCCAGAAAGCCCTTTAAATTGCAGACCACGGAGCTAAAGAGTGTTTGCTGATCTCTCCGCCTCAACGCTGCCGCTAAATACTTGGAAAACCAGTGGATGTTGGGCTACCCCGGCTTGACAAATACTCCGAGTTTAATTGCCAGAAGCCTAGCTAAAATTATTTGACATACTGTTAACCCCTAGGAACAAACTTGCCGTACCGAGATACTTTCCTTTTTGCTTCCTACCGGCGCTGAAGGCTGAGACCCAGGGAGACCTGTTTTAAAAACGTGGTTAAACTTTTACTATTGTTGCATGAAAGGGATGATATAGAAAGCGGATTGTACAGGGCAGAGACTAAAAAGCACTTCTCTGCCAATAAAAATGCACACCCCACCGAATGAGCAGAGCCAAAGAAAACAGAGAAATACGCCAAAGAATACAGCACCTTTCGAGGCATGGACATCCCTAGGCTCTCGGAAAAAATATTTTTTTGCTATTCTGATGCTCGATTTCAGAAAAGAAATATTTAGGTTCCGGCTGGATTTCATCAAAATAGAAAAACAGAACGGCAAAAGGCTATTGTGAAGTCGGTGCTCTTAGGAAATCAGACGTAATTCAAGATCCATGCCCCCGTGGACTTCGGAGGCTAATGGAAGGGAAACGAAAATGTTAGGGAAAGAATATTTGGATTTTCCCCCCTCTTCCTCTGCAGCGCTGTGGAAGTATTTATATATCCGGAGAAAGTTCTCTAGTAAATTCTGGAGATCTTCGGTATTTAAATGTCAACATCGATTTGTTTATTTATTGCTTAGCTTATCGTAACTGACTCAATAACAAATCTAATCATGTTGTGCACAGAGAAAATATTCTCATTATGTATTTTCCCTGCGTTATAGTTAACTATGGCGTTTGAATTCAAGCTGTAAATTCAATATTATCAAGTAATTACTTTGTAGTGGAGTAAACTAATTTATTAGCATTAATGTTTATATGCCTTTTTCTTATTTTACAAGGGTTACCGTTCACAAATCAAATGCTCTGGACGTATCCCTGTAATGAACTCTTTATTTTGGTTTGCTGCAAGAACTTCTTACGCTAACTGCATGTCTGCGAGCTGAACTTGAAATTAATGAATTAATCTTCCGGCTTGACATATTTGCTAGAAAGTGGATGGAAAGAGATTGCATGTCGTCAAAACCGCTAGCAGAAGACTGCAGTGTCGTTTAGGGATTGTAAAAGGGTTTGGGGGGTTTCCCTCTCTCTCCCTCTCTTCTTTTTTTTAACTTGGGGTGGGGGGTGCAAGAGCTCTGGCTGGCTTTTTCCTTAACGCTATGCTTTGCTCGCATTTACTTTCCCCCCATAGCTTTTGCGGGGGTGGGGGTGGGGGGTCGGAAGCCCTCTCTTGGTATCCAAGCGCTGTTTATTTTCCCTGTGTCCCCCCCACCCTTTCATTCCGTCGAAGAAAAACCTCTCCCCACACCCTGCACACACGCAGACACCCCCTCCCTTCAAACAAAAAGGAATGTATAAGGATTTCAGTGACTTTGAGATAACAAAGGCGCCACCATTGCAGAGCCTCGCCCCGCCTCTGTGTGATGGCAAACAAATTCTTGCACTTGTATTAGGGCTTTTAAGGCTATAATTGAACACGGCGCGTCTAGGAGAACCGAAAACAGTTCTAGACTGACCTGCGGTTTTATAGCACTTTGGCAGTCAACTTCAGCTTGTGTCAGAGCAGACATGACAGAGCTGCCCAGCGCTTAATCGCGGGACGCCACCTCCTCGGACTCACTGCAGCCCCCCTCTTGCATTTCAATAAATTTCAAACCTTGGGGCTAGGAATGGGGAGCGGAGCTGGCACAGGTTTGTATGGGGCTCTTTCCCGCTCCTCTCTGCAGCCGGGGCCGTGGCGCCGCGCGAGGCTCCGCCGTGCCAGAGGTCGGGGCTGCCTCTGGGAAACAAAGGGAAATTAAGGCAAGAAGGGCGAGAAGGCAACTGGCAATGGGCGCGTGTGTGCCTGCGCGCGGGTGTGCGTGGGCGTGCGTGTGTCTGGGCATATGTGTGCTTGCACAGCATGCGCACGTGCAGCCCCGATGCCTGCTTCTGAGTCGCTCGAGCTGTCCTCCCCCCCTCCCCAAACCAAGCAGCCTGTTTCTTCAAGCGGGTTTGCCACGCAAGGGGACCCCAAAACGCCTCCCGGTTCCGCCTGCAGAACGAGCGGGGCGGCTGACGGGGAAGGCTGCGAGGGGCGCAGCTCGGCTGGGAGCGAGTAGACGCCCAAGGCACGGGCTGTTCTCCGCTTTATTTGCTGTTAAGTGAAACAGAGATAATGTACGCTTAAAGCCCCGGAATGTGCGGGTAATTGAAGGGAGCCTGCTGTTAAGTTGCTGTGTTCAGCACAATTATCAATGTTGATTATTTGGTCTAACGTTGAATTGCTCTTTTAATACAGTAATTGGGACTTCCGCGTTGAGGAAGGGGGAAAACCGAGCCTTCCCCTCGCTAACCTCGCTGAAAACAACATAAACAAAGGCAGGCATTCCGTTTGGAGGAGCAAAATGCATTCGTTACGCCTTGCCGTGTATTTCGGCCGGATTAGAGAGGGTAAAACCGCTCTGAATTTGGGAGCTCTGCGGCAGGACGTTTTTGCAAAGGACAAGCGTGGCCAAGAGGTGGGGAGACTGTTGAGCACATTGGCCCATAGCTAAGCTAAACAAAGCGAGGGGAAAAAAGCTACATCTCTTCTTTGCAGGAATATAAACAGAGCTAGGACGCCTCGATAGCCTAGCTTTTATATATACAGATGGCGTGCAAAGGGAACTGTTTAACTTACTGCCGCTCGTCTCCGAAAGGTCAAGTTCTACAGTATCTGAACTGTTGTGGTTTTCTACCCTGTTCTGCTCGCAAAAAATTTGAAGCCCACCAATTACCTTGCCAATAGGGTGGGTGCCTGTAATTAACAGGAGAAACGTGCGCTGAAAGGAATTTGCGTCAAGAGGAGCGAATTAAAATATTACACGATCGCTGGCTTCAATCGCTGCTGCTCCTCTCGCACAGGAAGGGTGAGGGGTGTTACGGCTCGGGCGGGAGAAAATATCTCAGGAATTAGGACAGTGTTTTGTAAACTTGCGGGTTGATTACGGTCTACAAAGGCTTGTTCGAAAGACGTGATATTAGGGAATTCGCAACGTTGTTGCCAACGAAATGCACAAACCCTTCCCACCTTTTCCGATGAAAATAAGGCCAGAAGGCGATAATTCTTCGCAAAATTTGCCAGGAATGCAGCTTCAGAAAAGCGTGCTTATTGTTTCGATTTTAAATTTTTCGGGCTCAGAAGTTTTTAACTGGCGTTTCTTCTTTTCTGTTTGCCTTTTTGTCCGTTATGGAAAGGAGCTATACATAGCCATCTGTTTTTGTTTTTGTTTTTTTTTTTTTTTAACTAAATATGTTCCCTTAACATTGCAATAGAAGGAAGTGTCACAATAGTTAGCGAAGATTTTTCAAATAATTTAAATAATAGGCGATTTTCTATATCGGCAAGATGGAAGCCCCGTGCTGTGATGTGGGACAGACTATTTATTGTCCAAAACCTGAAGCGGTATGGTTGTGATTTTGCTAGGAAACTGCAGAATACGTGTAAGGAGAAAGGGCAGATGTAAACAGGATTCAAGTCAAGGTTATTCTGACTTTTTTTGTTGTATTTAATCGCATTGCGTTATTTCAGAGGCTTGAACATCTCAAAAGGATGCGCTTGTCTGGGCGTAGAATATTTTACATCGATTTTCAATATCAGTTACCGAAATCCTTTCCTTTCCTCCGTCACCCTCTGTGTCTTTTTAAATCGCTGAGAAGGAAAAGCCTCGGGGGTGGTTGGTTTTTTCCTCCTCCCAACCCTCCCGTTTAGTTTGACCGTTAGGATTAAACGGCTACGGACCTAAAGAGACCTACCCGTCGGTGGCGACCGCTGATGAACACCCGAGGGCTCTATCTGAAGGCAGACCCTGACTCCGATAGCTGCAACAAGCCGAAATGTCGCGGGCTTTTTTTCAAGAGACAAGCTTCTTCCAGATAGATAACTTCTATTTTTCGACAACTATTTTCTTGCAGCCAAACGATTTGCTGTTGTGACAGACTCCCGGCGCCTTCACAAGCGCGGG